TGCGTTAGGAATAATTCATATTTTAGCAAATACCAACATTCACTATGGGGTAATAGAAGAACCTCACATTCATGTTTTGCTCATAAAATTCCAGTCAAAATCATTTGGGTTCAGCAAACTAGTTTTTCATAATAATTTGGTCCCTCTTTATTCCTGATCAGATTTTCCTGCATGATTTAGATTTTGAGAGATTGATCAAATAGTTTCCATTCTCACCCAGTCCGTCCAGAGCTCTGTTCCTCACATTGACATATTTGGGTATTTCACTCTCAAACTGCGAAGAAACACTAAATGACTTTCACTCTCACAATCTTCACGTCTTCTCCAAGCTTTTCTAGCTCATGCACACTTTTTATGATGCCACTTTATTTTCTTGCTTATAGCCAAAAACGCACTTCTGGGGTTTTTACTGAATCTTTTGAAAAACGTAAGTCTCAAACAGTGCAAATAGCGTTTACACATATGAGGTCACCAGGGGGAAAGCTCATGGTCAGATTGGTTGCTTTCGTTGTGAAGAAGCTGTGACTCGAGCTTCCTGTGAATGAAACCATGACCACATGTAAATAAATGTATCCAAATATACATCTCCAAAGCTCCAAGAGTTCCCTTATGAAACCACATTTAAATTCACTGTACACCAATTTATATTTCGGTCCACACCAAATTGCACACACTCATAAATGTCAGTCCCCTAAACGTGCCTGATTTTTTCATCAAATCCATGAATTGTTCTCTGGGAAATTAAGGAAAATGGAAAAAAAACACACACACTATCTCACATTCCTGTATCCACCTCTGCACCAACATGTAATTGGTTCTTCCCTGACCCACACCACATCAGTCCAAGTATCATGGTGATTGGTCCAGCAGTTAGTTTTTGCGTAATCTTCCTAACTAGTAAATGGACCGGGGTGAAAACATAACCTCCTTGGCAGAGGTAATACTTTGGAACAACTATAAAAGAACTTACAATGCATTCAGAGATTCTCTGCCTCTCTTGACTCTGCTCTGATTTTCTCTTGTAAGAGTTAAGCCTCAGTCACTCACAGGCAAATAAAGTGAGGACCAGCTCTGTGCCTAACTGGATTCTATCCAGATTCATCCAAACAAAAATACTCTCTCTCATTATCTTCTCTGCAGGGACGTGGAGAGCGACGCTCTGATCCACTGGCATGGTTAAATCCATTTCTTTTATTTTTCACCAACTTGTTGTTTCTGCCTCTCTGCAGCATTTCTTCATGTGGTGGCCCCTTACAAGATTCGTTTAGCCGCCAACATAATGTTTTAGTGTGATTCGAAAACAACAGGTGTGTCAGGGACTGTTTAGCCTACATACGTTTTAAAATGCGTATCGGGAAGCGAAGCACATTTTCTGACACTTCAGTCCATAAGCTGGTAAACACACACCTACCAGCTTGCTTAAGGTTATTCAGAGTGGTGTGATCATTTCAGCACTCCCAAAAACTTAGCAGACAAATTGAGTGTGTGTGATTTGCGCAGCAGAAAAAAGATATGATTTACGATGAACCATATAATTAATCAGACATTCTGTATGCACGCCTGGTCTAAAGGTGTGTGTCAGAAAATAACTTTCAGTGAGGGAAACCTGCATAAATTACAAAAGAAGTATGTTTTACGCAAATCGATACTGACTGTGATTAAGAAAACCTGACAAAATTGACAATATTGATCTGACACCTGACATATTCCATGGATATTTTTGGGTTACAGCTCTGGTGATATCTTAATCTCGCTCGAGACCTTCAAATGCCACAATTCATTTCTCCCTGCTCCCTTTGGAATGATGTTATTATGGTTAGGGAGATGACAGTTGTATCAATTATGCATTAGGTAAGAGTGTGTGGAAGGCATCTATGCAAATCAAGTTTGCCCCACGGGTGGCAGTGAAAATAAATGAAAAATGCTGCTTTCAAAGTGGTGAGTTCAGTTAAGTTCCTGCCAGTCAGGCTCTGGATTAATCTGTGAGGAGGAGACGCTGAAGGAGGTTTGACCCTCTTCCACTGGCTGTATCTCAATCATGGGTTTGAGACGTTCACTGTTGCTACTGTAAAAGAAATTTCATACATGACAGCAGGCAAAATAACTGTGCTTTGGAAAATATGCAGCGCTGAGTGCAATTCTTCTGTCGGGTTTTTAAATGTTCATGATGCATTAAATGATCTGTACGAGTTCTTTAAATGTTCAAATGTAAAAATCTGATTATTGGAAATATACTTTTCATTTTGGGTTGAAATGAGAAAATAAATACCACTCTCAAGTTTATATGCTAAATATGAACCTGTTGGCTTAGCATAGCATACACGCGGGCAAACAAACTGAAGATCTGTCAAAATATAATAAATCTACCAACCAGCATCTCTAAAGCTCACAAATTAAAAAGTCATATTTTGTTTGTTTACTCTGTTCAAAAACTTAAGTACAAATACATCAGTTTGTTGTTTTACAGAATTAAGTTAGCTGACCCCCATGTTTCAGCCTTTGTGCTAACACTCTGGGAAGCCATTTCAATAGTCTCCTTTAAATCTCTACAAGAAACTGAATATGCTTATTTTCCAGAATGTTGTTTTAACAAGAAAATCTCAACCTAAGGTCAAGTTACTGAATCAGTAGCTTTCCAACAGCATCCTATTTTCTCATTGGGCTCAGTTTAAAAACTTTTAAAAAAAACTGCTAAACAAACTGCATGATACACAATTTGCGCAAGTCAAAATCATTTTCACTACTGTTTAAAAGGCGTTGCATGAATCTGGACACTCTGGATCTTTTCAGTCCTGACCAAAATGTGTGAAAGGTCCCATGAGCCGTGATCCAGACCGATGGACCAAAATTACTATCATCCAAAAGAGGTGGTCCCCGTCAGACCAGTCAATGTCAACTATAGGTGCAGCCCATGTAGGTGATGACAACAGGAAATATGTACATCATACAAAATGCTTAACTACACCCATTAAATTATATCTATCCATCTATCTATCTATATGTCTATCTATCTATCTGTCTGTCTGTCTGTCTGTCTGTCTATCTACAGTTGTGTAGTCTAAAAATAAATATATTACATCCATATGTAGTGTGCACATAGGAGGCAGTTGTGACAAGAGGCTGTGTGTGAAGAGCAGTGTTGTAGAGGGGGGATGATGTAGTGGGCTGTTCTCTTTCTTGTATCCTTCCCTGTTCCTCCAGATCCCTTTCTCCTTCTAATCCTCTCACTCTTTGTCTCAAAATCTCTTTTACAATCTCTCTCCCTTCTCCCGAGCTAGAACGCTCTCAAATTATCACTCCAACAGCTCCACCAACAGGTGGGAAAAGGCCCATCTCAGGTTTTCACGCCTCCATGTTTCCATCCGTCCAAGGAGCACTCCACATTTATCCCTGAGAGTGAAATGCAACACCACACATTTTCAAGGTCTATGTTTTAAATTTTGTCTCCATGTGAACGGTTCAGGTGGGTAAGGAAATTATTTATTGTCATTCAGCACACAGCAGTGCTGAATCAACAGGGTCAGAGGATAAAAAGAGTAAGGACACAGCACGCTGGCGCAGAGCTGCTCTCGTCATCGCTTCTATATAAGTCAGCCAGCATAATACCCAGGATGTGCTCAGTCAATCACACCAGGATCAGCTGCACCCTCCATTGTCATACTGCATGCAATCCTTATAAAAATAAGTGTGAGACACCATGAGGAACATCAGTTCTGTGTGTTTGCAGGCAGACACAGTTCTAATTTCTATATCCATCCACTGGGAGGCAGAATTGAGGAGATGTGGTTTTTATTTTGTGCCTTCTTCATGTGGAAACCTTTCTGAAGCATTTAAACTCAACAGGAGCCAAACGCTTCAGGCGCGCTGTGGTCTGCATTCAGTCACAGCTTTATGAGAGCTGCTCTCACCAGAGGATGATGTGGTTAAAGTGAGCGTGACAGTAGAAACAGTACACAACAGAAGAAAATGTACTGACCAAAAGATTTCAGATACATGCATATTTATAACATTGATTTTCTTCTGACAGCCACAGCCGTTAGATATAAGCCTCATGTAGAGCCATTTGGATAACAGTCCATTAGGTGTGGAAAGACCTGCCGCTTTTCACACTGGCTTGTAAATAATACAAGTTATATTGTACTATATTTATGTAATATCTCAGATTGATCAACCATATGAAACAAACATATGATCAATGATGTAAGATATTGTAGATATTGCAGACTGCACTATTACCATAGTCAAGCTGAACTTTCATTAAAATTCACATAACAGATAGTAAGTGGGAGTAAAATGTATTTTACATATGATTCCTAAGGGGAAATGTTGTATTTTAAAGATTTTGTTATGACATTCAAGACGTGAGGCTAGTTGTTAAAAGAAGTAATCACATCTTATAGTTATGTAAAGTAGTTATACAACAGTAAGATGTCCCCTGTGGGTGAGTATTTTTCTGATGGTTATTACCGATCCAAAAATGTATTAGCAGCATTCCACTGTGGCTCATCAGAATTAGGCTGGTTTTTAAATACTCCATGTATGTGTCAGTAGTTTAGTCCAGTGATGCCCAGGCTATAGGGTTAGGCTATAAGATTACTGTAAAAAGAAAAGTAAAGCTGATACATATATGTATATAAATAAAACAAACTCTTATCTTTAATTTTGGACAATCACACCATCTGAGAAGTTCATATGGAAAGTCACTCCTCAGTGGATTTAACCTGATTTGATCTTGTATGTTATTATCTTACATACATGTTTTATGATACATTTCGTAAAGATCTTGATGCTAAATATGCTAATCTGAAATGTAATAAATGATTTTCTAAATAAAAGTATAATATTTCCCTGTGAAATGTAGAGAAGTACAGAACAAAGCATTTCTCCTCATTTAATAACATGTTTAATAATCAACATGTTTAATCAGTACCTCCTCTTGCCTCTAGAGGGCGCTGTTGTAATTTCGGCCGGACGCGGAGGCGGAACTTGACGTGGCAAGTAAACCGTTCACTTCCTGTGTTTTGTGCCGTATTGACATCCGTCTCCCACAGTCTCACCGCCGATCGACCGGACCTGCTCGGACTCTGTAGCGGCTCTTACCTCAGCCCTCAGGCCGGTGTCGGTGCGAGCGGAGGCGGCTGCCGCGGTACATGAGGAGCGGGCGGCGCTGAGGAGCTCCGCAGCCGGGACAGGAGAGATGACGGCTGGGCTGCTCTTGGTGGTGGTGGTCGGGGGGCTGCTGGAGGTCTGCGGCGGCGTGTCGGCGAACAGAGGAGGTTACCCTTCGTTTACAGACGAAATCCCGTTTAAAATCACCTGGCCAGACGCTGAGTTCACGCTGGTATGAGTCCTCCTGTGGGTGTATGGTGTCGGGGGGTGGGGGGGGGATTGGACTGTCACCTGTGCAGCAGCTTCCCGTTTGTTCAGAGTCAGTTTCCTCTTTCTTTCACACCCTGACCTTAACTGTTTTCATTTCAGCCGACGTCAGGTGCACTGTACCGCGAGGATAACTTTGTCATCATGACAACAACAGAGAAGGAGAAGTACAAGTGTCTCCTGCCCTCCCTGACAGGTGGAGATGAGGTGAGCAGCACCAACCACAGTATTTGACCCTGGTTCAGGCAACTGTCCATCTGAACATAGATCGATGAGACTGGACGAGGAGCGAGTCCCTGCAGAGCAAACACACATTTACCTCACTTTGTTCCATAGTATACTTCATCCTCTACAGGTCAACATGCTTAGTAATGATATTGAGCTTTACACGATATGATGAGACTCAACACTGCCTCTTGTTCTTTTAACAGCATAAGCACCAGTTTTCAATTTACTTCACTAAATCACATCGTACTGATTTTAAAAAAGACATGTTTTCATTGAAGTAAACCATAGAAGCCTCATGTTGTCGTTTGCTCGGTGTCTGTTGGTGTGTTAGGATAACAATAAGGAGTACAGCGGGCCGGGGCCGGGTGACATGCTGGAGCCGCTGTTCAAACGAAACAGCTGCTCTTACAGGGTGAGAGCTCTTTGGTTTCTTTTCCACTTGAATCTAATTTCCCTGCTTCTCTCAGCAGACACACTGAAACTATGTCATGCTTCATTAACAGAGCATCACTAAAAACAAAAGTCTCTCATGTGTCTTAACTTGCTATTGACTCGCCAATATTGCAGATAGAGTCGTACTGGACATATGAGGTTTGCCATGGAAAGCACATACGACAGTATCATGAAGAGAAGGAGACTGGCCAGGTCAGTGGTTTGAGTCTGTAAATTAACTTTCAGATGCCAGGAATGAGTAGATATCTGTTAGTAAAGTGTGAACTAAAGCTGACTACGTTTTTCCTCAGAAAATTAGTCTTCAAGAATACTTCCTGGGAAATTTGGCTCATAAGAGCCAGTCGACAGAGACAGGTGAGTTTCTTTACGAATGGAATTTACGGATTAGTGTGTTTATATTATTTTGAAAATGTTATTGCATGTATCAGTTTCTCTTTGTTGTACTAAAGCAGGAAATACATTTTTTTCCAGATAAAGTTGAAGAAGCAGAAGATGTCAAATCAACAGCTGAAACAGAAGTTAGTAAATGTAGACACTTTACTAACCAGCCACATTTGCTAGGCAAGTTGTCAGTTCTCACATTTGTTGCATCTTTTCTTTTTTCCTCTGTCCAGGTGCCCACTAAGAACATAGAGGGTCAGCTCACTCCCTACTACTCAATGGAAATGGGGAACGGGACTCCCTGCACGCTGAAAGAGAACGAGCCTCGCTCCACGTCGGTGCTGTACGTGTGTCATCCTGAGGCCAAGCACGAGATCCTGTCTGTCGCAGAAGTCACAACCTGTGAATATGAGGTGGTGGTGTTGACACCACTGCTTTGTGCTCACCCAAAGTACAGGTAGGCCTCTCAAAAAAGGACTTGTGTTAAAATATTGTTCTCAAAGGAATACGCCTCACTGATAAAATTATTATCGTCCCTGATTGTTGGGATTCTACTGAACTTGTGGTGTATCCCTGGCAGGTTTAAGTCGTCCCCGGTGAACGCAATCTTCTGTCAGGCTCTGGCTGGCTCCCCTATGCGACCTCAGCGGCTCGCCCAGCTGGACAAGGAGCAAGAGGAGAACCTTAAACCGCCTTTCAGCGCCACCTCGGAGGCGAGAGAGGTGAGCCATCAACTGAAAGGTCACTGAGGGGAAAATGGATTCTGCGTGAACCCACATCCACAGGTTCTTTCACATCTTTGACGTGTTTTTACAGGAGGAGGCGCCACCAGTGAGGGAGGAGGCCTTCACCTCCACTCACAAACCCATGACGGTTGGAGGGCAGACTCAGGTCACTGTGGGCACCACCCACATCTCTCGTTTGACAGATGACCAGCTAATCAAGGAGTTCCTCAGTGGCTCGTACTGTCTGCATGGGGTGAGCCATGTTCATCTCTACTACAACAGTAGTTTAAAATAAAGTACTTATTGATAAATAATCATCTTAATGTGTGTTTCAGGGAGTAGGCTGGTGGAAATATGAATTCTGTTATGGAAGGCATGTCCATCAGTACCATGAGGTAAGGGTCTTGCTTTGCATCTGTGTGTGGAAGCTGGGCGGATAATGTTTTAAAGAAAAAAATCAAA